TATTATTGGTTTGATGCATAATGGTGTTAATTGTCTTATTTGATTGGTATGGGCTATGGGGAAGATTTGGTCCTACATGTTGGTGCTTCTTAATCAGGTTGTTTTCAGTTCGATTACATTAAGCGATGATGATGAGATATGATTGATGGTCGATTGTGTGTATTATTTTAAATTTAATAAACCGGTAAGACGAAATGGGAGGAGGTGAGGAAGGAAGTGTTTCAGTGAGTGAATTTCATGTGAAAAGAATAATGGAATCATAGACGTGTGCCGATGTGGGAATGTGAAAATGTGACTGCTGAAAGCTGACTCAACTTTCTTTCTAAGGATTGAAATTGAAATTGTGACACCCAGATTGTATGTTGGAGTTTAACATTTCTGTTTCTTTACCAGTGTTGTTCGGAAAAGTCTATTTTGTGTTGTGCATTATTGATGAGTAAGAAGATCTGTTGGCCGGACTTTCAAAAACTCGTGTGAGTAAGCTTGGAATTCATGGAACTTTTTCCATTTGAACTCCTACTGAGACGCGGCATGACCAATATTTCGTTCAAATTTGTGTTCATTATCATTCAGTGAGAAACGGCATGACCAATATTTCGTTCAAAATTTGTTTATTATCATTCAGTGGTTCATTGTACCCTTTTCTGCAAGGGAAAACTGAGGAAGTAGATGTAACTGTGTAAACTTGGGTATATAGCTACTTTAATAAGGTTTACGCGGAAAATAAACTATTTTTTGCATTGTCTCATTTGGCAAATTAAGGATAAGTTGAGAGAATAATATTTGATTAGCCTCATCAGGAAATTTGACTATAAAGTTCAAAATGCGTGATAGCTAGAGTTCTCTTATGCAGTTTTGGCCATGGTGCTTGTCATATTAGTGGCTTGATTAATCTTAGAATGTGGATGTTGATCTTTTGTGGTTTGAATTTATAACTAATGTCTTGGCTTAGAATGTCAACACTGTCCCTTGTGCAGTGCTTAGGAGGATCTTGAGAGTAAAGGGTGTCAGATTGATAGTGGTTTTTAAAGATTATGTGTAGTGTTACTGCTGTGTTATAATAACTGGTTCTTCAAAGAGTTGAAACTTAAAAAATCTTTCCATTGGTAGTTTCTATTTTTTGTACTTTTTTATTTGTTTTTGCGTGTGCATAAAGATTAATGCAGATTCTCTCATCCTGTCATTGAATTCTGATGAATCTTCAAACAACTGGAGAAATATTTACATGAAAATGTTCAGCTAGAATTACACATGACCACTGTATGTCCTAAATGAGGGTAGACCAAGTTAGTGAACATTTGAGATCCCTTGGATCATTCCAGGTTATAATGTGATCACTGTATATAATGTACGATTGAGTAATAAAATCAATATTTTCCTGCCCGTATGCAACCCTGATTATTCTCTGAAGAAAACTGCACTTCAAAATCTTGGACAGAAATAATTAGATTTGGATGACCAATGCTGGATCCTCCATGTAAAACCCCTGTTGATGAAATGTTTTATAGTCCCTAAATAAAAACTGTAAAACATCTATCCGCGCTGTATGGTATTTACTAATACCACCCTTGAGTTTTAGCCTAATCACATAGTCACATACAAAAGAACCAAAAAAAAAAACAAAATATCCANAAACAGATGTGTACTCCTGGGCGTGAGCTGCGGAGCAAACATAGCCAACCACGTGGCCCGAAAGGCAGTCGAGGCCGGCAGACTCGTTGACCCGGTCAAAATAGTGGCCCAAGTCCTCATGTACCCTTTCTTCCTCGGAAGCATACCCACACGCTCTGAAATCAAACTCGCAAACTCCTACTTTTACGACAAGGCCATGTGCCTGCTCGCATGGAAGCTATTCTTGCCGGAAAACGAGTTCAGCTTGGACCACCCGGCGGCCAACCCGCTGGCCCCATGCCTGGCGGGCCCACCCCTGAAAAAAATGCCGCCAACTCTGACGGTGGTGGCGGAGCACGACTGGATGAGGGATCGAGCGATTGCCTACTCGGAGGAGCTGCGTAAGGTTAATGTGGATGCGCCTGTTTTAGAGTATAAGGACGCGGTCCACGAGTTTGCCACGCTGGACATGCTGCTCAAGACGCCTCAGGCTCAGGCGTGTGCTGAGGATGTCGCTATTTGGGTCAAGAAGTATATCTCGCTCAGGGGTCACGAGTTCTCTTACTGACTGGTAAAAATTCTTTACTCGGGGGGGACTCTGTGAATTTTGTTTCTTGTTTCTTGTTTTTTTGTTTTTGCATTTTTTATTTTTATTTTTGGTTTGGCGGGGGTTTTGGTGTTGAGATGTGTACCTGCTTTGTTAGATGCTAGATGATTGAGATGGAGATGTTATTTGTTGATTGAATTGTGTTTGGGGATTGGCTTGTACATGTGAGATGATAATCGGAAGAGAAGAAAACGAAAGGATATTGTAATCGCGAAACGGAAATTAATTTTGCATCTTGCTGAGAAACATATTTTTGCCTTGTCGTTCTGTACAAAGTAAACAGTGGTTCTATTTATGTTAAATCTTTGATGGCATGTGGCGATGACATAAAATAATATAATTGGCCGCGTTTAACAAACGGCTTTTTGCTCAGAAGATCTTTTTGTTCTCATTAGCTGTTTAACTTTTTTAATAAGCTAAAAAATATGTTTCTAAAAAATATGTTTGATAAATAGCTGTTAGAAACAACTTTTTTGGGCCCATCCCCCAAGTTAAAAAACGCTGCTTTCTAATAGAGACAGTCATTATTATAAAACGTGGGGTTATTTGTATATGTACATAGTAGTAAGGGTGCTTCTAATAGCGATATTCAAGAGTGCTTTCAATATTAACGTGGGGTTATTTGTATATGTACATCAAAAATTCTATGACGTCCATACGGGCGCCATAAGTCATGCCACAATCTTATGTGTCATATGAGGTGGCTTTAATAATTTTAATTGTAATATCCAACATGGCATGAGGTGGATTTAAAAAAGATTTTCCACCCAAAATCAGAATCCCTTCCTAAAACAAGATTTTAAACATTACTCACTTTTATTCACAATCGTCTTTACTGGGACAACAACATCCTCTATGCCCTAAATGTCAAGAACACCCCTAGAACACATCAAACTGGATCCAGCAGTCAAAGAAAATCCAGACTCCTGGAGCTCTAATTCAATTCTAAAATGCTCCATAATAATAATAATTCAAAATATCAAAACAATTCAAAGGTTTGACTTATGAAATAGATTTCAGAACTTTTAATTTTCATCTGTCAACTAACGAAATGAATTTATTCATATGATCAATTAGCCTAAAAAAAGGTTAGCAGCTAACCATCTATGATCAAGTTTTACTCAAACCTGCATATCAAATTCTTCTTTCAATAATATATATTTGAAAGAGCTTTTTATCAAAGCGCATCTTAAACCTTGTGCTAGGCTTTATTATCAAATAATCAGCCCTTTTGTGTATACCAACCTGGTGCTTGAGTTAAAGAAGGAGGACCAACGACGAGAAAACTCTGGCCGTGTCGAAGAGATTTTACGGGTGATTCTCAAAACTTTTATTTACTTTTTTAACAATTGTTATTTTATTCTTATGGATGCATCAGATATATGAATAGAACAATTCTAATAACGTAGGGATTTTTTGGGTAGAAAATCTTGTTTAAATTCACCTCATGCCATGTTGGATATTATAATTAAAATTATTAAAGCCACCTCATATGACACATAAGATTGTGGCATGACTTATGGCGCCCGTATGAGCGCCATAGAATTTCTGTATGCACATAGTAGTAAGGGTGCTTCTAACAGAGATATTCAGGAGTGCTTTCAATATTTTGGCGAAACCGTACGTAGAATTTTCAAATAAGTTTTAGATTGCATGGATAGCTTTTCAAGAGATATACTTGCACCGAAAGATACCGAATTCAAAGATATTCCAACACATATTTCCAATGATAAGAGATATATGCCACATTTTAAGGTAACATTTTTGTTGTTTTCTTTCTTTTTTTTTTTCTTTTTTTTTGTGCTATTGAAGATGATGATAATATAACTTTTATAATGTCATTCTAGGATTGTATTGGAGCTATTGATGAGACACATATTGCGATAACCGTACTTGAAGAGGATCAAAAATTCGTTACAGGGGAAGAAAAGGGATACCGACTACAAATGTTTTAGTAGTGTGTGGTTTTGATTTGTTGTTCACATACGTTTTAACAGGATGGGAGGGATCAACACATGATTCTCGTATTTTTCTTGATAAGATTAATGATCCAAATCTCAATTTTTCGAAACCTCCATCAGGTATCTTGTACTTGTCATTTATATGCACTGTTGCACACACACGCGCGCGCGCCTTTGATATAATTTAATTCTAGAATACTTATGTACATTTAGGTAAATATTACTTGGTAGAAAAAGGCTACCCAGAAAGAGAAGGCTATTTAACGCCTTACACTAAGACAAGATATCATCAGTCTGAGTTTAGTAGTTCAAATCCGAGGGGATCTCAAGAAGTTTTTAATTGGGCTCATTCATCTTTAAAAAGTTGCACTAAAAGGAATTTGGTGTTCTTAAGGCTCGATGGAAGATACTGCATAAAATGCCGAGTTATTCGTTAATGGATCAAAATAGAATCATTTGTTCATGTTTTGCACTTCATAATTATTCAGAAGAAGCACAATTGGTGATCTGGGCTTTAGAGTTATTAATGCAAATCCTAAATTCATACCTCCTGATGTGTTCCCCGATGTTGAAAATAATTCTGCACAAGGTGATGGAGAAATGAGGACTCGGGAGATGGCAAACTTTCGTAATGATATAGCTTCAAGTTTGATGGCATCCAGACGTCGTTCTTAGAGCATTGTTTTTTTTTTCTTTTCTTTTTTGTTTTTTAATTATAATAGCGAATATTGCAATAGAGCCACATTCATATTTTTCTTTAGTATGACTTGTTGTTGGCTTTGTTTATATGGCGTGAACTTATTTACTTGATTTTGAAATATTTTCATTTTATTATTATCTATATTTTTTGTCATATTTAAATCACTTTAATAAATATTTTAAATATTAATTATTTTTATTTCCTAAATAATTATAGGTTCAACATAAATTAGAATGATAAAGTATGTTGATGCCCTTATAATAATTTAAAATGTTAACAACTAATTAAAAAGCTATATTTACCAAACATGTTTTTACAACCGCTAATACGATCAGCTGATCAAAACAGCTAATGTAATCTGCTGGTCAAAACAGCTAATAACCAAACATACAGGACAGTTGAAAGAAGATATGCTTGAAACAGTTGTCTTTATAGCAGCTAAAAAATATTGTTGCACAAGTGACGCTATTTGGTGGCATATGATAATTTTCAATCAGGACGAATTATAAAAGGAACCGAGAGGCCCCAGCGAGGAAGACTACGCCTTATGACGAAAGGGGGAGCCTAATATAATAGTAAATCCTGCCATTGCGGATAATACTGGTCTGATATATGACTGCTGTTGGTGATCGGATACTGAATAAACGAGTATTTCCTCTAGAAGGAAGAAGATTCTCTTTGAAAATGGCATATTGTAAAGGGTAGGATGGTGCCAAAAGCCCCAGAAACAGCTTCGTAGTTATTAATCATATTTTAGAAATGATCATTCAATTGAAGTACACGAGTTAGTGTAGCATAAGGGCGTGTTTGATATAGAAGATAGGATTAGATTGTAATAATTTGGTGTCCCTAGATTGTACTGTTAAGATTTGAGCAGTATTGAGTTTGGTGGTCATGATTGCGTGGAAGAGGAAGATTAGACAAAGTTTATTTTGGTGTTTGTGGGACATGACAATTGTTAGGATAAAACACCAATTTACTTAATTACCCGTTAATTGTCAAAATTTTTCAACCGATCATTCCAATTTTTCCAGTCTTTTTCCCCAATTCTAACCTTATTCTTTCGGAGGTCCAAAAATGCGATCTCCGACTCTCGCCCAGCGATCTCTGACTCTCGTCCATGGAATGCAAGCAAGATGAATAATCCGATGTCATAATTGAACGGGACCTTCTCGCATCTGAATACTTTTTCCATCTCTTCAGTGAGTTTACGTTAGTGTGTAGTCTAGTACCTGTAATTTTTGGTTCTTACGGATATCTTCCATAAACACATATTTCAGGTTTGTGTTATGTTAATTCGTACGTCGTCTTCTACACCATTTTGCAGTTTTAATTGTATAATATGTGATAAGGTTTTTTCCTAGGAAGTAATTCTTTGTACTAAAAAATGTTGAATTATCTCTCTGGAATCAGTATTGTGGTTTATTTTAATTCGTATTTCGGGCATCCAAGCACTACGAAAATTTGTAGAACATCGTTTGAGACTTGTAAAAAACAAAAAGGCAAGACTTTGTTGTTGTTTTGTCCAATCCGCAGTACCATTATTCTTTCCCATGTGGTTATATTAAAAAATGTATGATTATATTCTCTGGCCTGCAGATGTCTACATGGGTTGCTGTCATTTTCCATTAGATTCTTTTTGTACAGTTTGATACAATTTGGCATAGAGATATGATGCTTTTTGAATAAAAGTGTTGAAGATGGTGTATTCAATCTGTTGTCAGCTTTATCAGTTACTTACATCGCATAAATTGTGTAATTTGCATATTTGGTACAAATTACCCTCCTCTGTGTGGTCATGTCCTTCCTTATATAAACATGTTCATGTAGCTTATAATTTCCACATTCAAGTCATGGCCAGAAAAGTAGGATTTAATTAAACCATCCTCTATTGTCATTGGAAAGCACTATATTGCCACGTTTGGAAAGGGAAGCCACACGAGATGAGTTTCTTTACGATGATCGTTGGACCAAAGAGGTCGACAACCTATTCATAGACCTCCTTGCAGAGGCACACCTTGCTGGGGAATGAAGATATGGCAGACCAGGGTCGAATGTCTTCACCTACTGCCGTGGTGTATTGGTTGCAGATGTTGAGGCAAACTTCACGGTCAGTGAACTCCAGGAAAGGTTCGATTTCCTTCACAAGCGGTTCCGAGTCTTAGTTGGATGCTATGCAAACATGGGTTGCGCCAGTGTGTCCAGTCCAACGTCCTCACGACACCAGTAATAGTGTGGGATGATATCTTCGAGGTATTTCATAACTTATCATATGAGGGAGCTTAATGTTATCTATTGTTGTTTACACTTCGTTGGGAATACTACACATTTGGGTTATATATTCTCTCGCTATTTGGTGAAACCAAATTATCTGAGTCCTTTTTGGTTGTTTGGCCTTTATTGAGTAAAAGGTTCTAAGATGAATGTACTTGTTGATACATAATATTGGCCTCGACTATTAAAATATTACACGTGGATATGTATTAAATCAATTGTTTTATTTTTATTTTATTTTTAGGGCCCAAAAATAACACCGCTTGTGATAATATCGGGCCCTCCAAAAACATATATATATACCCCGATGATGGACATCATCAAGATAAGTCTGAGAGGCTCATTTTTCTCTTATCTGCTACAGAAAGAGGCACCGCCTCTCTTCTGTTCTTCTGATCCCATATTTCTTCTTACAGGAAAAAAAAAAGGAAGGGAATTCTTCAAGTTGATTATTAATTCAATTTACAGAAATATATACAAAACAATCCAATATATACAAACACAGTAGGATCCTTTCCTTCAACAGCAAAACAAGGGATTCTTTTTCTTCCTTTTACAACAAAGAACAAAAGAGATTACACAACCCCTGTTTCTTCAATTTTTCTTTATTTAATACACAACAAATTCACTGCAAATTCAATATATGAACAATTCTCCGAATACCCCATGTTGATCAAATTTCATGCATCAGCAATACTATTAACTCCTCCAAAAATGAGTTTATTGATAAGTTGTGTAGTTTTTAGAGTTTTACTAGTACGCAATTGAAACAATTATTATATAACAAATTTAATGATGTTCATACGAGTGCATGTGTTTTCTCAGGCTTCTCATTTAGTTGCGTTTTTGTTGTTGTGTTGTATTACCAATATGTGTTTACTTGATTGAAAGTGTCTTTATGTTACAAAATGAGGATTTAAATACTTATTGTCTGAAGTTGAACAAATGTATTTATGCAGTCCGACCTATTCTCGGTGGCATACCAACATTCTGGGGACCCGCGTTGGCCGGTACGATACTTGTTCACCGAGGTCTACGAAGTCACAACAAATCCACCGGATGTGTTGGACCAAAATTCTACTAATGAAAATGATGTAGCGGCCTTGTACGAATAGTCAGACGTGTTATCGCTGAGTTCCCTCACCAATGAACCACTAATAAATGGTTCAATCAGAAACAACGTTTGTCATCCAAGATCTACGCGAGAACGTGAGTCTTCCTCCGAAGGCTCAGTGAATACACACACCCATGTGAGCATTCAAAGGCAGGGGAGTCGAACACCATTACGCATTCCCCGACCACCACGTAAGCCTGCCCCATCTTCATGCAAAGGATCTTCTAGTGACCCCCTAACTGAACACTTGTGAAGTCCCTCCAATTGTTAAGGACAGTTAAATTTCCTTCTTTTGTGGGTTGTATTTTGTATTATTATTGACATTAAGTATTGTGATGTACTTTCTTTGGTGCTTGTAATCACGAATTTTGGCTTGTTATTTGTACTTCATTAACTATCTTTTGATTTATATGTGTGTTCATCAACTAAAGCCCTGGTGTTCAATCTTTTTGTCATGGTTGAAGTGTTATTTCATTTTTATTATAACTATCCAAAGAAAAACCCAAGTAACCTTCAACTTAATCCACTCTCCAATTTGGATGAAAAAAATTGTTTGTTTGGGAACTTTCGTTGTTTAGTCATGTCCATGCTTTGAATGCAACTGTGATGTGTTGGTGACTAAATAATTGCTTGACTATGTTTTAAGTTCCAATAGAAACATAAAAAAGTTGAAGAAGAAGGCATTGGTCAGGAAATAATTGTTTCACTATGTTTAAAGTTGAAAAAAAAACATAAATAAGTTGAAGAAGAAGACAACAAACATAATTAAGTAGGATCAATATTCACATGAAAACCTATGCAAAATATGGCAGCCACAAAAAATCCTCCATTACATGCCATTCACCAAATTATAACGGGCATCCATCAAACCAAAATTTAGGGAGATTCAAAACCAAAATAATATGACTAATAGGCGGCCTATTCTAATAAAATCCGCACACTAATTATTACATAAGCAAAATATAAATATAAATAAAATACATAGCAACATCATATAGTCGGGACCCAAATACCAAAAGAAGTGTATGCCCATCCTGAAAATTATTTCTCTGTTAGTTGGAGTCGACGCATGAGTCCACATCCGACTCATGATCGTCATCCATATCATTCGGTCCCATAGGAAGTGGATCTTCTTGGATTGGGCTTTGAACTTGCTGCTGGACTTCAAAATCATCCTCCATGATATCTTCCAACAACACATCAGAGTTAGTATCATCTAGACAAATTGGATTCTGCAAAGTCTGACCTGGGTTACTCTCGATGTCCCATTGTGCAGCCACGCTTAAGTTCCACAGCTGCACACACTCATTGTACCATTTAAAGCCATTCCAAATACACTTCTAAATCGGTCTCCTGCAGGTGTTTTAATTTTTTTTGGACGTTAACAAAGTTTCACTCGGTTGTTTATAAAAAAAGTGATAACCAAATACACTTGCCTCTCCGACAAAATTTCAGTATTCTCGGTTCACACTAACCAAATGGCCGTCATCATGAACGCAGACTCCCAGTGTGGTCATGAACCGAAGAAATTGACGGTATATGTCCCTGAAGATAGTGGATTTTATCACGTACCTTCATCCACGAAAAGTCCTTCTGCATAAGCTCCGATAACTGATGGGAGAGTCCGAACCAAAACAATTTCAGGACGGGTGCCATGTATACGTCGTCCGTTTGAGCACACTTCTAGAAATAGAGACGAAAGCAAATCTCTTCTTCCTCCTAGGTCCACCCCTCCAACCGGAAGCGGCGCGCAATGTTCACCAAGCTCGTCATCCGATCCATTACATTGTTACCTGTTGTGTCCAAACAAAAAAAGAATTATAAAAAAGACCTTTTCAGGCAACAGATTTAGGGTGAGGATAAAAAAAAAAAAAATGTTACCAGACTACAGTGAATATTGCTTGTGTGAAGTTGGTGATGGTTTTAATTTAGCATGCACACACCATCAAGTTATATAGCCGGCTTGCACCTCATGTCAACATTATACCTTAATTGGGTAGTTAGCAAACAACTCACCTTAAATGAAAATAATCA